AATATTTTCTAATCTAGAGCCCTGAAAAGACCCTTTCTTGAAAGAAAGTGCTTTGCTCACTTATATAAAACAGGGAAACAGCAAGTACCTGTGCCCAACTTCCTTTTCCAAATAAGAAGATTGTTAGTTTGTTTTGTTGCCGGGCTCACTGTGAATTCTTAACTGAACTCGGGATGCCTGGGAGAGAGAGCAGTGGCAAACACGGGGACAGGCACTGAAACAGACATTATGCCCTCTCTCTCACTTGTACAGACATCGTTCAGCTTTTAAAACTGTAGTCAATCAGTCTCACCACTTAGAATGATAGCAGTTTTCAAAACAGTTAAAATTTTGGGTTATCTCTTTGGTATCTGTTTTCATTTCCACCCCTTGCCTGCCTTTGCTTTATCGGTAATCAGGTTATTTCAGTCATTGGCTATCCACCCTCTGTTGATTTTGTTTTTCCCCCTGGTGCCTAAAGTCAGTTACAGCTCTTGTTGAGATTGCAGTTAAAAAAAACCACAATACTTTAGACTTGTAATCTTGACACTTCCTTGAATCTTCTCCTCTGCTTCTGTGGATTGCTGATGATTGGAAAACTCTCTGCTGTAGGCCTTTCCAGTATTTATGTAATGATCACATGTCACTATTATGAAAGTACTAATCTTTTAAAAATATGTGCCTATACAGTGTACTTTAGATTACTTCTGTGACGCTGGAGGTGGGACAGACGTATAATAGGATTGAGAAGATATTCGCCCCCACAATTGTAGGGAAGCTGGGGAAGGCAGACTGTTCAGTTGTGGCTGCTTCCCAAGACAACAGAGCAACCCCTAGAGCATGGGCTGGGTGTGGCGAGAAGGGTCAGGCTTGGGAGAGGCAAGGAGAGTCAGCAGGGCCCGGGGCGAAGAAGTTGTGTAGCGCACAGTTGATGCGAGCCCCTCCAGGACCCTGCTAGCAATCTCAATACACTTCAGAGAAGCCAGACTGAAGTAGATTTATTTCTTGAAGCTTGCAAAGAGAAACACCCAGCAAAGGTGGGAAAAGAAACAGAGAGCTCTGAGGGAGTTAGGTTGGGAATTCATCAGTATGATACACGTCCTGAAGTCTTACAAATGATAGAACTGGGAGTTTGAGCCAAGTTTACCTAGGGCTCCAAGGTGCAGTGAAGCCCCCGCATGGTGTTTGAGATACAGGCTATTTAAATTTGCTCAGTTTTTAAAATAAAAATACGATAAAAGCCTGTGTTAAAAAGAGACTCGGCATGTAGCTTTGCTTCTGGCAGGAAGTGACAAAAGCTATGAAGGTGTTTGAGTGCTTTTGCTGAAAGCAAGCAGTTGATGCTTGGAGAAAGTATTTTAGCAGAGGGTTGGAATGGACTTCTGAAGTTAAGCATCTACTCACCTTTGAATGAATGGAAAGGTGCTAATTGTCCCAGTCTGTTTGGAAAAGGCTTAGTAGGAGAGAGAGACTTTGTGATGCCACAGCAGTGCCATTCATACCAGCGGTTAAGTGGCAAAAACGCACGGAATTTATTCAGAAATAAATTCCTGGTTTATTCCTGGTTCAGAAATTTATTCCTGGTTTCTTTTTTAGTTATGTTAACACTCCTTTTAGTATTTGGATTATTCTGCTGACAGTGGGATAAAAACCAGGCAGCTGGTGTTACAGCCCCGTACAAATGGAAAATGAGTTCATACTTGTCATTTGCACAGGACAGAAGTAATTAGGAGGCCTGTGGGAACCTCTTTTGTTCCTTTAATGTACTTGTACCCAAGGAAACTTGAGAAAACCCAATTCTGGTCGGATCTTAAATATGTTTTCTCCTTTCATTAAGTGATGGTAGTTAAAAAAAAATTATTACATATCCCGTGACTGGATCTCTATTTGAAAAGAAAAAGAATATAGATGTTAACGTGCGGAATAGAATGAAAACCAATCTAAGAAAAGTTTGAGGGGACTTAATTTGTTTATATATTTTTTTCAAATGTTTTTATTTATTTTTGAGAGAGAGAGAGAGAGAGAGAGAGCGAGCGCACAAATGGGGGAAGGGCAGAAAGAGAGGGAGACACAGAATCTGAAGCAGGCTCTGAGCTTTCAGCACAGAGCCCAATGTGGGGCTCGAACCCAATGTGGGGCTCGAACCCACAAACCGGGAGATCATGACCTGAGCCCAAGTCAGACGCTTAACCAACTGAGCCACGCAGGCGCCCCGGGATTTACTGTATTTTTAAGATAGAATGCTTTTTTGTTTCTCCTCTGTTTCTGTAAATTTGGATTATATGTAATTAAATAACTTATTGAAAATTTGTCTTTTGGTTTGTAAATACCACCTGATTTGTGGATGCTCTTGCTAAAATGTTCAAGTATCAGTGTCACAAAATGGTCCTCACCAGCCACCATTTCTTGTCAGTGATAATGTCTAATATGTCCTGGCACATGTAGAGCTTTTGTTGTTGGAAGGCACAGGATGGTGGAGTATAGATACTGAGGAAGGTGGTGGTGGGGAGAGGACCACATGTCCTGTACTCACTTTATCCTAATCATTTATCCTGATACAACGCAATCACAAGCAAAATTATTTTAAAATAAATGACCTGTGCATTATATTTTTGGATAATGCAGTGACCTTAAAAACACGTACGGTTATATAAGAAACTCTTTTTTTTAAGTTTATTTATTTATTTGGGGGTGGGGGAGGTATGAGCTGGGGAGGGGCAGAGACTGAGGGAGAGAGAATCCCAAGCAGGCTCTGAGCTGTCAGCACAGAGCACAGCATGGGGCTCAATCTCACCACCGTGAGATCATGACCTGAGCTGAAATCAAGATTTGGATGCTTAACTGACTGAGCCACCCAGGCACCACACTATAAGAAACTCTTGATAGTGGTGGCCTCTGGGGAAGGGGATTGGGAACACGATGGGAGTGAGATTTTAGTTATCAGTGTGTGTCCATTTTGGTAACTTTTGGCATTTGTACTATGTGTGTATATTATGTATGAAGAAAAGAAAAGAAAAAGGAAAAACCCTTCCCTTCTAAGCATTCCCATGTCCTGACAGGATGCTTGGTTTCCCACCCTGCCTGCAAGGATCTTCTGTGATTTCCTGGGCACCCCCTTCCCCCATTTCTTTTGCTTTTGAGGAATGCCCTTTCTGAATCCATTGACTTTACTCCCTTATCTCTACTTGTGTAATCCCTGCCCCTTTCATGAAAGTCACCGAAGATGTCTTACCATGAAATGCAGTCCCCTCCTTTCAAACCTTGTTTGACCTTTCCTGGTCACTTGAGTCTTGTGCTCTCCTTCTAGCCTCTCTGCCACTGTTGCCTCCTGTTCCGTTTTGACACCCCCCTCCCTCCCCGCACTCCTTCTTCACAGCATCCTGGTTGTGATTTTATCTTCACCCACTTCGTTCTTTCTCCTGGAACAATTTCTTTTATGCTCTTGGGTGAAATCATTTGTGTCAGCAGGTGTGGCCTGTCTCTTCAGCTCTGTGTCTGCATGTCTCCTGGCCCACTAGGTATGTTTAGTTCCCCATTCCATAGGCACCTCAAAATCAAAATAGCCTGAACTTACTATCTCTTCCCTCGCCATCCAAATGCCCAATTTTTTCTACTTGCTGTATTTCATTAGTTAGCATTCCCCAAGCCAGAAACCTGGGAATTGTCTTAAGTTCCTTCCTCCACTTCACAAGGTTTTGGAATTATAGGCGGCCTTGCTGTAACATGCATATATTGGCTCTGTTTTCATCACACTCTTTCATCTTACAAATAAACTTCTAAACTGGGCAGCTTCCTTCCAGATGGACTTGGAATAAATTTCATGCATATAAATGTTCTTTCCTTATTAAAAGGTGGGAAGGATCCTTTTCCATTACTCATCTGCATTGACAATTTTGTGCTTATAAATCCATAGAAACCTCATTCCAGGGGCATTTCTGCATTTGAGGCTTAAGTTTGCTAATTTAGTTTTAATTTTTTTAAACGTTTATTTATTTTTGAGAGGGAGAGAGAGAGAGAGAGAGACAGAGCATGAGTGGGGGGAGGGGCAGAGAAAGAGGGAGACACAGAATCTGAAGCAGGCTCCAGGCTCTGAGCTGTCAGCACAGAGCCCAATGCAGGGCCCGAACCCACAGACTGTGAAATCATGACCTGAGCTGAAGTGGGATGCTCAACCGACTGAGCCACCCAGGCGCCCTATGCTAATTTAGTTTTAGATAAAACAAACAAACAAACAAACAAACAAAACAATTATAAAGCTTCACAGAATTTGTGGTTCATTGTTTTAGCACTTAGATTCTATCTTATGTGGTTGCCTATTCAGTCACTTAAAAAAATAAATAATATCTTCTGCACAATTAGAATGATCTCTAATATTGCCGTTATTTCTCATGTGCTAAATATCGGTAGGTAGCTACTGGATAGTTGAAATTTAATGTATATCTATTATGTACTTTACATAGGTCATATCATTTAGTTTAATTCACCCAATAACTGAATGCAGAATGTGGAAGCTCAGAGACATTATTCAGTTTGCTTAGATGACACAGCTGTGGGGGTCGCTCCTTGCATTGGCCCCTCCTGAGATGCTTTAGTCATCATTTTAAATGTAGCATGTACATCCCTGAAAGTAATAGAGTTAATAACTGGGTTTATGGGCATCTCCTCTTTATTGGGAGTTGATTTCCACACAGTGTGGTCCGGTTTGGGTGCCCGTTTATGATGGAAAAGTTTGCAGTACTTCCTTGCCATGGCCCTGCTTATCCATGGTCTTGGGGTGATGAAGAAGTAAGTGATAAAGGTGACGGCACTGTGATTTATGTGGAACTTAATTTCATAATTTTAATTATTGAAGGTGGTTTGAAGGCACCCCTCCAAAAATAGTTACCAAGAGATAATTATTTTTTGTTTTATGTGTTAATAATTTCTCTGCCTACCCAAACTTTTGATAAAAGGTGACTGTCATCTGAAGATTAGTATGGTCAGTAATTCATAGTCTCTCTTTCTCTTTTTGTTTCTCTCAGTGCAATGAAACCTCATTCTTTTTTGAAGCTCGAAGTAAAACGGCTTGCAAGCATCTTTGGAAGTGTAGTGTAGAACATCATACATTTTTCAGGTATGTTAATGTGAAAGTTTTGTGCATTGTTCTAATAAGTGAAAATTGCATTTGTTTTTATAACAAGTGTTCTTTTCTGTCTATAAGTAGAAATTTAGAAGTGTTTCTCTTCTATTAATTTTTTTCAGCCACCTAATTTTCTGGATCATATTAATACACACACACACAGATACCTTCTTTGGTCCTACTATAAGAAAGGGTCAAGGACATTTACATATATATAAAATTCAGCTTTGGTATTGATGGAAATTAAATGTTCTATGGACATACTAAATTTGAAATGCCTGTTAGTCACCTAAGTAGAGGTGTGGAGCAGGCAGTTGGGTGTCCAGGGCTTATTGGAAAGACCAAAGCTGGCCATGTAAATTCACTAGGTATTTAAGGCAAAGGGGACTGGATGAGGTCATCAGTAGAAAAAATGAAGAAAGAGAACAGAAAGCCAAGGACTGAGCTGTAGGACCCTCCCAGCATGTAAAGCGCAGTAGAGCTAATGAAGGAGTATAAGACGGCCTGGCCAGTAGAGTGCATGGGAAAATGGAAAATAGAGAGGAAAATGCCATGCTGAATAAGAAGCCAGCAACTGCATTGCATGCTCCCAGGACATCAAGTAAGAGGAGGGTAGAGAGTTGACCATTGGATTATAGTGACACTTTGTTTCACATCCTTCTAGTGTAAAGATAAAACCAAATCCTATCAGGTAATATATTAAGCTTTATGTTTTGCTTTTCAAATTTAAAGTTAGATTAATTCTTCCCCTTATTCCTATTTGATGGAAGGAGCATGGAGCACTTCTCCCCAATAGCATGATGTTGGAGAAGCATTCTTATAAAATGACCTATGTCCTTTATAGAGTTTATATTAGTTGAGGGATGTGGCCCAGCAAGCCTGAGACATTGCCTCTAGTCCCATGGGGCCTGGGCCAGGGAGCTCCACATGGAAGGTGTCTGTTGAAGGTACCCTGGAATGGGAAGTCCTGGAGTATAAAGAGAAGTAAAACACTACATCAGATCTGTCGTGAAAGCCATGGCATGGATATTTCAACATAGTGACACTATTCTTAATTTAAGTAGAGAAAGTAAGTTGATTCACAGCTGAAGCTTCCAAAGGGCAATGATCTATATAATAGCTTGCCGAAACTATGAACACTCTGATATTATACATACATAAAATCCTAGAGCATGGTTGTATTTCAAATATTAGCTTAAAATAACTGGTAATTATTTCCTGCCAATATGTACAATAACTCAAATATTTCGACTAGCTGTGAAACAATGTTGCACTCTATTTTCTACATAGCTTTTGCTCAAGGGTTGTGTAAGTACCTGTATTTATGAAATCCTTATCTAATTTTCTTTTAAATACTTATTAGAATGCCAGAAAATGAATCAAATTCATTGTCAAGAAAACTCAGCAAGTTTGGATCCATGAGTTATAAGCACCGGTATAGGTAAATGGCATTTTTTCTTTGGGGAAGGGTATATACATGTGAATAAATAAATATTTAATTCAGTTGTCCACATACACACTAAAGTTTATGATTTAAATTTTTTTTTTATTTTTCTGCCAGTGAATTTCAAAAGCGTAACAGTTTATTAAAACTTTCTTGACAAAAACAGCCTATCTAGTATGTGTATTAGCTATGTTAAGTTTAGGACTTTTAGAATGTAGTACAGCTTATGATCTTCAGAAATTCATTTTGATACAATTATCACTTTATTGCTAATGATGTGATTATGAGACAAAGTAGATATCCTGAATTGTAGCTGAGTGGTGTTCTTAGAACCATTTAGTCAATCACCTGTTGTAACACAATGTGTACTTTATACTGTGGATCAAAGCGTGTTTCCTACAGCATAAAGCTTAAGTGTATAATGCTACAATTATGTCTAAACTTTACTGAGCAGTTACTAAGTACCATGTATTGTGCTAAATGTTTTCCATTTATTGCTTCATTGAATAATTCCTGTCTTTTTAATATTACCCCCCTTAATATGTGGGGAAAGTAAGGTTCAGAGACACAAGTCACTTTTCAAGGTAACCCAGCCAAGAAGCAGGAAAGTGGTCCCTTCCCTGGCAGTCTAACTCCAAAGCCCTTGCTTTGACTATTAGGCAAACCCTGAGCATGTTACAGGAAAAGCCTGATTGGGTCTTTTTCTAATACCAGCATTAAAAATGGGAACCTTCTGTGTTGTGAAAAAGAACTGTTTTGTTTCAATTCGTCTGTTAAGTGGAGAGCCTGTGATATGCAAGGCAAGATATTGGATTGGGTGCCCAGAGATATAGAGAATTGGATCTAACTACTTCTGCCTTTAGAGAGCTCCAGTGAAGCAGGTCCCAGGCCCTGTAAAACACAAGTAGGGTGCCCAAATGCCACTCTGGAAGTGGGATACTGTTCTCTCAGTTCCACTGGAGACGGCACTAAATGAAATTCTTACCTAGGAGACTTAAAGCCAAGTCATTGTTGGCAGGACAGTGGTATGCCAGATTTTAATTCCTCTTTTTCGACCCACTTTTTTTTGGTTCTGAATTTGAAACCAGAGATAATCAATAAAAGAGTGATTAATAGTGAATGTTCAGTGCGTTACCATTATGTATTACTCACTTGGGTTATTTGCTCCTTTGATGCCCAAGACTTAACTGTTATTGTATTAGAGAGATATTCTTGGTATTTGAATGAAAATATTCATTGAAGGGCACGTGGGTGGCTCAGTCGGTTAAGCTTCCAACTTTGGCTCAGGTCATGATCTCTGTGCTGACAACTCGGAGCCTGGAGCCTGCTTCAGATTCTGTGTTTCCCTCCCTTTGCCCCCCCCCCCACTCAAAAGAAACATTTAAAAAAAATTTTTAGGGGCGCCTGGGTGGCTCAGTAGGTTAAGCGTCTGACTTCGGCTCAGGTCATGATCTTGCGGTTCGTGAGTTCAAGCCCCGCGTCAGGCTCTGTGCTGACAGCTCAGAGCCTGGAGCCTGTTTCAGATTCTGTATCTCCCTCTCTCTCTCTGACCCTCCCCCATTCATGCCCTCTCTCTGTCTCAAAAATAAATAAATGTAAAAAAAAAAAATTAAAAAAAATTTTTTTTTTAATTAAAAAAAGAAAATATTCATTGATATCTAAAAATTTAACCTTCAGGTTACCAAGGTTCTTCCTTAGATAGTGATGTAGTTAAGGAAAGAGTATTTACTTTTGTATTGAGAAGAAGAGCTTATAGTATTTGGGCTGTTTTTCTAGTTGGGGCATAAAACATTGTGAGGTTTGTAGAGAGAATGTGTAAATCTATCTTCTTGTCACTGAAGTAAAGCTAGTGAAAAAGCATCTGTCAGTGTTCATGCTATTAAAATTGTAATTATGCTGTTTAACATATGCTGTAGTTGGTTTCCACAAATTTACCCATACCTGATTTCTTAAATTTATTGAAATGCAAATGTTGTGGCTACTGGGAATTATTATTAGAAAGTTATTGGGTTTTGCATATTAAATATCATTTCTTCCAAGAAAGTAATTAAAGGTAACCTTTGCAGAATTGGAAGCTCCACTAAATCTGTTCTAATTTTGTGGATGGTATTAACTCCCCAGTAAGTCGTAATGAAACCCAAATCTCCGTGTCTGTACGTAGGAAGCATTAACATTACCCCATCCCTGGAAGAAAGACGTTTCATCCCACTGCCCAGAGCTAGGCTCAGGCCCAGGTGGGTCTCTGACAGCTGGTGGTCACCAGCACGTGGACCGTTGATTGTCAAAAGTGGAAAAACAACCAGCCTTTAACACACGTCATATGCCTGCTCCTTTCTTGAGACTCCTTTCTGGAGGCCCCGTGGGATACAAGCAGAGCCCTGGAAACACAGGCAGCCCCTCCTTCAGCCTTCAGGCTTTTGGGGCATGGGGGATAAGGGACCGCAGAACAGGTGGCTGTGGTTTGTGAGTGTGGGTGTCTGCCTGCTTTGTGTGTCTGCATTTCTGCTGGTGTGTGTGGGACGGAAGAAGAGTTCTTGTCTTTGCTCTCTTTCCTGCATCGTGGGGCTTACAGAACACCAAGAAGATTCCAACATCTCTTAGAAAAATGAATTACTAAGAAGGAAAAAAATTGACATTTTTAGTGATACATGACTGCCAGTTGTCTCAAAAGTTCAAAATTTGTGGGAAAACGGAGCTGAAATCAGACTAGTTCTTTTGGTGTTGTTTTATTATCAGATAGCAATAATTTAAAATAGATACTGATGAAGTATTTTGTGATACACTGGTATCTCTTTCTCTGAGCCCCTCAAAAACTTCTCGCAAAGGACAAGAGTGTGTGCGCCAGCGTGTGTGGAGGCAGGGAAGTGGTGATTATGGGGAAGAAGCTCTTTCTGGTCACTACGGAGAGCCACTAGACATGCATCGGAACTCTTATACTTTACACTGTAAATCTCTCTCTTCATCAAGTACTTTCTGCTGCAAGGAAATAGTAAGAATACTGTACAAGAATATTTCCGCTAGGAAATACTCTGAATAAGTATGTGTGTGTGTGTATATATAAAATTATGATATAATTTTATTATAGTCATGAGTTGGACTCTCAATCTACTGAGCCACCCAGGCGCCTCAACTAGAAATATCTTTTAATTTTTTTCGTGTGTGTGTGGGGCGCCTGGGTGGCTCAGTCCGTTAAGCATCCGACTTTGGCTCAGAGTCATGATCTCGCGGTTCATGGGTTCAAGCCCCACATCAGGTCCTGTGCTGACAGCTCAGAGCCTGGAGCCTGCTTCGGATTCTGTGTCTCCCTCTTTCTCTCTCTCTCTGCCCCTCCCCTGCTTGTGCTCTGTCTCTCTCTCTCAAAAATAAATAAACATAAAAAAAATACATATTTTAATGAGGAAAATGAGGCTCCAAGAGATTTTAAAAAGAATCTGCTGAAGACCACACAGTTATAGCAGAGCTGTGTTTTAAACTGGGCTGGTGGAGCACCTGGGTGGCTCAGTTGGTTAAGCATCCGACTTTGGCTTGGGTCAACATCTCACAGCTCATTGGTTTGAGCCCCACATCAGCCTCTGTGCTCACAGCTCAGAGCCTGGAGACTGCTTCAAATTCTGTGTCTCCCTCTTTATCTGCCCCTTCCCTGCTCATTTGCTCATGTGCTCGCTCTCTCTCAAAAATAAATAAACATTAAAAAAAATTTTTTTTTTAATTTAAACAAACTGGGCTTGTAACATCATACCAAATGGTTCAGTGTTCTTCCCTTTCTCCCAGGCCACCAGGCCATGTCACAACAACCAGCTGGAGGTCAGAAAGCTCATTCTAAGTCTTGGGTAGGCTGTGGCAGATCAGTTTATGTTTCTGGATCTTAGTTTTATTAATCTTGTAATATGATTTTCTCATTATCCTTTATTCCTGAGAGAGAAGCCATGAGGGAAAATTGAATGGTAAAGTAAAATCTCATTATAAAATGCCACAGTGGGTCCATATGCTGGGTTGTATTTTCAGGGCAAATATTTTTTCCTCTGCAATGAAGTATACAGTATCCAAGTCTTTCTGATAACAGAGCCTGTTTTAAGTAGCTCTTATCTTTATGCTTCAAATCATTTATAACAATGGAATTCTGCTCTTTATATGGAATTTTGTTTTTTAGCCTTTTAGGAGTGAGATGTTGCTGTTTGTGCTATCTTATGTACTACCTTTAAAAAAAGGTTAAATTTCAAGTAAAAGAAAACCTGTCACAGGTTTTCTCCCATTCTCTATGCTGGTTCCCATCAACTCTTGAACATGAGGCACACACAGATGGAGCCTGCCATGGTAGCTCATATCAAGTGGTGTCCCTAGCTAGGCTGACGGGAGCCACTTTGATGAGTGTTTCAAGCATCTTTTTATTTCTAATAAAGGTAGATGGGGTAGTAAGAAGGGGGAACTTTCACAGAAGTGTGTAGGAGGTGAATTTTGCTTGTATAAGTCTCATCTCTTTATCCCATTTATCCTGTAAATGTAGGAGGAATAAGATTTGGGGCCATGAAATGGCCTTTTTCCTCCCATACGTGGGCTCTTTTTGTGATGAATCAGACTAGACACACAAAAATTCATTTTTCCTGTACCTAAATGATATTTTCTTGTGTGAAAGTCAGAGTCATTCACTGGCTCAAATTCAGCAGCTGTGGAGTAATTTTTCAGTAAGATGAATGTTCACTGAAATCCAGCAAACAAAATCACACCAATCCCCAGGAAAATTATGTGAAGATTAGTCCATTCCCAGGGAAAGCTCACCTTGCATCCTCAGACTCTTTAGAGAGGCAGCACTTTGCATGGGCTTTTGGCTTACTTTAAATCTTTCTGGGAACTTGATCTGGCACAGGTGAGGTGAGCATTAATAAATGGTTGTGCCACAGCAGGGTTCAGGGTAAAATCATACCAAGCCATCCTGTGGGGCATGCTTTACAACTTGCTGTGTAAGTACGACCTAGTGACATGTTGATTCATGTAGAATCGTTGCTATTGTATAATTTAGCCCAACGTAATTTATTATTTAGTTGTAGAGCTGGAAGACCATCAGTATCCTCTATTTCTAGCTCATTCTACTTAAATCTAAACCTAACCTCTTTATTTTTTTATTTATTTTTTTTTTTTTTTTTTTCAACGTTTATTTATTTTTGGGACAGAGAGAGGAGGCATGTGAAAGGAGGGAGTCAGAGAGAGGAGACTACAGAATGAACGAAACAGGCTCGGCTCTGAGCCAGTCAGACTTTGATGACTCTTGGACGAGCTGAACTCACAGACATGAGATCGTGTTGACCCCAATACAGGAAATTCAGTCGTGCCAGCTTAACCGACTGCACCACCCAGGCGCCCCTAAACCTAACCTCTTTAATAAATTTCTGCCTCTGAAAGATTGTCCTTCTATCTAACCTAAGACTCTCATATTAGAATTTAATATTACTGCCTTGGTTAATATTGCAATGAGAATCAATTGAAAACCCTTATATACTTAGGGTCTCTGTGACTCTGTGTTGTTTTTCTTCTCTGCATACTTTGTAGATATTGTGAATGAGCCGTGGTTTAATTTTGTGACTGTGTGGTTTTATCTGTGTTAACCAAAATGTTGCATTTCCAAGTGGCAGGACAGCATTGCAAATGAGTCGAGACCTTTCTATTCAACTTCCTCGGCCAGATCAGAATGTGGCACGAAGTCGAAGCAAGACTTACCCAAAGAGAATAGCACAAACACAGCCAGCTGGTGAGTCACTGATGTAACCTTGCATTTCCTTTTAGGGTGGTGGTGTAAGATAAGCTCAGGTGGTGACTATGGCCATGTAGTTTCATTTATTGTTAAGTAGGATTTTTAATTTGACCCTGAAACTGTCGAAGCAATTAGAAGTTACTATAAGTAACTTCAGGGTCAAATTAAAAATAGTAAGTTTTATATATAGTAAGTTACTATAAGTAATTGAGTAATTTCTTAGTTTGATGTATCTGAGATTGGAACTGAAACTCTTACCAAACGTCCTTTAAAAAAAGTAATAGTATTGATATAAATTAAACTATACAGAATTCAGTTGGATTTTTATTGTTGGTTTTTTATTGTGAAATATGTGTATAGACAAGTGTTTACAATGTACATACATGCATATGTATGTACACTTGCACATACACACACAAAATTTAATATAGCCTGTAATCCCAAAGTCCTTCCTATTAGTCTCATTATTTATATCTTCACCATCTCCCTTCCCAACCAGAGAAAATCCCCATCTAACTTTATGATAGTTATTTCCTTAATTTTTGTTAGAATTTTAATACTGTGCAGACTTCCCCAAACAAACAAGTTTATTTTTGCCTATTTTTAACATAATTTATATGAATGACCATGGCATACATTGTTTGTGTCTTGCTTCCATCAGTGCTGTATGTATACTAAAGTGCATTCATTTTTCTTGCTGTGAGTATTCTGTTATGACATTCTCTTTATCCATTCTGTTTTTGATGGACAGCTGGGTTATTCAAATTTTTGTTTTAAATGAAGACTACTTCTGTAATAAAACCACCTAATCAGTTTTAATCCATGTTCAATGCTCAGAACTCACAGAATTATTTTGTAAAGTGATGTTACTGAGTTTGGTTTATGTCTTACCTATAGGTCCCCCTTGTCTAACATGCTCCATGGACTTTTCTCATACTGTTTCATTGAGTCTCACCATAGCCCTGTGAGGTAGGGCAAGGCACAGAGTATGTTCCCATTTTACAGATGAGGAAGACATAGTTCCAGCATCTAGAGAAGTGTGGGGCTGGAATAAGAGCCTAGATCTCCTGGTTTTTGTTTTTACCATATTGTGGCAAGTGAGGGGAATTTTTAATAACAGTAATTTCTATCTGAGCATTGCATGACAATTGACATAGCATTGTGACATCTGTTGTTTCATTTAATCCTTATGTCAAGCCTCTGAGGAAAGTGTTCTGCTCTACTGCTCCCCGTGTGAGAGTGTCACCTGACTTACTCTTTCGAAGCCCAATTAAATCTGAGTGTAGGTTCCCCCCATCACTGAGCTGGGAGGAAATTAAATTCTTTCTGTTGGTTCTGCAGTGGCAAAATAAGACATGAATTAACTTTGCAATAGGTTACTTTGCCACAGAAGTATTATCATTTTCCCTGTTTGGCTGATGAGGAAACTAAGAGTTAAAAGGACAAATTTGTCCAAGATTATATAATAAATAGGTAACTTAGGATAAAAATTTTACCTGTAATATTTAATATTTTTGTCTTAATAATTTCTATTTATCTTTGTATATGAGCAGTCTGAAATTCCATTTGGATCAAATACAACGTGGTACAATTAGCAAACTTTCAAATCCTATGCTGTTTCTGAATTGCTGTGCCTCATGAAATGAGTGAGACCAACTGAGACTATCAAAAGCATGTCTTGCTTCAAATTACCATTGCATTCTACTCAAGACGTGGGAATCATACATGCTTTGTTTACAAACCTGCTCCCTTGCTCCTTTTCTTCTCATATCCTCTTACAAAGATAGTTGCCTCTGTGACACTTTTTGTATATGTGTGGGCGTGTGGCTCTCCTTGGAAGCCCAAATACTGAAGCTGATTAATTTAGGGACAAAGGTTTTTGGTTTTATTTTTGTTTTTCTCTTGGCGTATGCAGAGAACAACCCCAGGGGATGATTTTGGACTTTCACACCCCTCATTCATCTTGTGTTGTATTAAAACACACTCTCTTCTTGGTAGGGGATAAGGGTGTGGTTAATGTACCACCCAGGCTTTTCAAGGACAGCCTCTCAGCATCTGGGAGACCTTTTTAAAATGCACCACATTATGCATTTATTATTATAAATGCCTGCCTGGTTCAATTGGTGGAGCATGTGACTCTTGATCTCAGGGTCCTGAGTTCAAGCCCCACGTTGGGTGTAGAGATTGCTTAAAAATACATACATGCATACACATTTGTTTTAGAAAAGTTAAGAAACTTAGAACCTTTCCTTCCAAAAGAAAAAAATCTTTCAAATTCGATTCCATTCTCCTGATAGTTAACACTTATTACGTAGCTTTCTAGTTGTTTGTATATCTTTTCTGCAAAAGCAATATAGTAGTCTTTTACAATCTGCTTTTCTTATTTAATAATATGTCACGGATATATTTTAATAAGTTTCTAAATGTTCTTAGCACCATTTTAGCATCTATATAATTTTCTGTTACACAGATGGATAGACATATAATTTATTCAACCAATCTTTAGTTCTTAGATGGTTTAAGCTGTTTGAAATTTTGAAGAATATAAATATAACTAAAGTGAATCTCCATGGAGTGATAGCTTTAAACATCCATGCTAATTTATTACATGTATTTTAAACAATGGTTCATTTTCATCATTTTTAACATAAAAAGGATTAAACAATGCTGTGTTTAGAACCTAAGTCAGACTTTGCTGTGTACACATTTCACTTTGATTTTGAATTACTTTTAGTCTGACTTTTCAAGTCTGGATTCCACAAAACTGCGATGTGTTCTTGGATCCAGAGATGGACCCTCCCTTTGACTGTGTGACTGTCTTGGGTAGGGAAGGATCACTTCGCAAATGCCTATGGTGAGGTGTCACAGTTGCTGTCACACATATAGGGAGAATGTGGTGGAGGCAGAGATTAATGTTTTTTTGCTTTCTCAAATCTTCCATTTTCTCTTTCCTCTAATTCAAATGTACTTTACTGGGAGCCTCAGCTGAACCCAGCTGGTGGTGACCCAGTCTCAGCCATGCCCTACTTCTCAGGTCATGGTGGGGTTCAGACTTGGAGCAGAATATTTGAAGAGGGTCCTCTTGTCTTCATCTACATTAGTCACTGCTGTGCTCCTTGTTCCAGCCAGGCCCCAAGAAGGTGGGCAGTTCTGTGCGAAGCTGGGCTGGGATGTGTGTGTGAGAGGGAGGGGTCTTTGGCTTGGCGTGCCTGAGAGCCTGCTGTGCTTAGGGTCAAGCCTGCGCAGAGACCTCACTGGCAGTCCTCCGTGAAGTTTCTGCTGCCTGGGGGAGGGGATGCTTCAGAGAGTGCCTGCAGGTCACTAGGTCAGGTCGCTGTAGCCCTCTGGCCTCTGTCCCCTTCCCCACCATCGCAGGCAGTTTCTCCAGCCTGTTACTTTTTCTTCCCACACCCCCAGCTTGCTCAGAGCACCCTCTCCCTCGGAAGCTCCCTATTCCTGAGGCCCATTCATGGGTGGCTGGGCCGGAAAGGAACAATAGGTCTTGTCTTTTTTAAAATTACTTTTTACTGACCAAAGGGGAAAAAAATATTACTTTACTAAATTACGACGCCACAGTTACTTAAATTTTCATTTACAAATTTTGACCGTTAAATTTTGATCAACAGAAAACTGATTTTGAGATGTAGAAGAGATTGATTAGATTGTACTGTATTTGACAAAAAGGAGTTATGGTTTATTTATTTATTTAAAAGTTTTATTTAGAGCTATGTCTACATCCAACCTGGGGCTTGAACTCATGATTCTGAAATCAAGAGCCAGATGCTCTACTGACTGAGCCAGCCAGGCATGCCTGGAGTTATGGTTTAAATAAAAGATAGATTTTCTCTTTCTACTCCAAACAGGCCAGCTATTAATTTTCATAGATTAAATTCTGCTGATATTCTCCCTAAAACAAAATTTTAGAACTATAGTTTCAGGAGTTATTGGCATAGATTCTCACCTCATTTAACACTTACATATAATAATAATTAAAAAAAACTAATTGTGGTAGGAGGCTTTCATTTTTTGTTAGTTTATAACATTAATGGATGGTGCATGACTCATTACTATAGAAGACATTCTTTTATTTAAGTTAAAATACTTCAGACAAACTCAGTGATTTCTCCCCTTAACTTGCATCTTGGTTGTCTGGAGATTTAAAGCACTTTTTTTTTTTTTTTTTTTTTTTTTTTTTCCCACCTCTCAGTCACAAATAATAAATGCCCTGGTAGCTAAAAAGCCATTGTGTTTAGAATCCGCCAAGATTAGGCCTTGGCACCTCTATGAGGAAGTGCATTCCGGAGTCAAGAGCCCTGCACCCAGCCTGCCTGCTGCTCCACCCCAGGAGCTCAGCGCCAGGGCAGGGAGCCAGAGCATTCCTGCAGATCTGCATGGCCTCAGAGGGAGCTTGGGGGTAAAGCAGGAGGCGAGAGGTCAGGAAGGAAAAGTGCATATTTGTACAGCCCTTTCTCTGACAAGGTCTTGGCAACCCACATAGGTGGGTTCCTGTCAGAAGAGAATCAGCTATAGGTAGGCAGTACAGACAATATCTGGCTATAACTCATAATTAGCTGTAAGAAAAGTACTGGGTGAAGAAACCTATCCATTTGCAATGGATAAACAATGCTGTGATTGTCTGATATGGCATTTTAGGTTCTTAACGGCACCACACTGACGAACAGAGAAATAAATAGTTGCAGTGTAGCCTTCAGACGACTGAAAAGCAAGATCCGGTGACATTTTGGCATTCTCACTCAGCATCTGTGGGAAACGCTGCAAACACAATGCCTGGGGGTGATGAAAATGACTTTTGAACGAGGTTGGTTTGTGCTAGTCTGCAAGCAGACAGCTACTGCTCAGGCCAAGCCACTTGTTTCTGTGCAGGGGAGTGGACCCAGAGTTGCCAAACTTCCAGTGTTTTAAGGGAAGCATAATATGTGGATATTTATGTAAACTTTCCAGAATTTTGAATAGTGGCAATTTCATTTTAAAGATAG